ATTGATTAGAATAAAATTATCATAAGAACAAATTTTCAAATTTTTTTGCCCAGCCCCTCTTTTTGCTGTGGGGGGTCCCATATATAGTATATAATTATTTAGCTAACATATTTATATTTATTTTGAGAACTTGTAAAGCTAGTATTTTCTTATTAATACGCGTATTTTATAAAAAACTTTGCTGAAAAAGAATACAAATATTATATAGTTATTGCATGCGAAGTATGATTTACTATCTCAGTTTAATAAGATCAATAATTTTATCATTGATTTATTTTATAGGCTGATCATAGTAAAGCATTGAATAATTCTGAATTCAATACCAATAATTCCAAGGACTAAAGGTTATGAAGAAATGAATAAAAAGAATAGATTTGAGTAGAATACCTTTTAATTTATAATAAATTTAATTTAGAATTTTTTAATTGGCGTAAATTACTTTGGCTAATTAATGCGCCATCAACCTGGCACACATTCAAGAATTGCCAATTTAATTATACATATTTTTAAGATTTTAGTAATTTATAGTGCTATAGCACTATGGTGCTAAAAAATATTTCTATATATTAATATCTCAAAATCTGATTATAAAATAGATTTTAAAGTTATAATATAAAATATTTCTTGCAAAATTTTAGTAAACTATAATCTCTCTAATATTAAAGCTAATTTTACTTTACTTTAAGCTATTCTAATTTTTCATTTTGTAATTTATATATTATATAAATCAATTAAGTATATGTATTATACCAAATATCATCAAATTCTGCTTCTACTTAATCTTGCTAACAATTTTTTATCCATATTCATACTAGAATTTGTAATATTTTTTACATATAACTATCTATATAATTTACTTGATCAACTACATTCTGATTCTAATTCTTGCTTACCAGCTAGGCTTGCTAATTGTAAATTCAATATCTGGTTTACTTTGTAGATCTAGTCTGTATTTTTACTAATTATATATTAACTATTTAAATCTAGATGAGTTTTGACCACTTTAGTAGATTTAGATCACAGATAAATAATTAGTCTGAGCTTTTATTCTTGCATATAGTTTATATTTATTCATTTATATTTGAATTGAGTTTTTATTTAGTTTTGTTTCTTATATAAATTATTCAATAAAGATATAAGCAAGGTCTCACTCTAAAAAAATAATAATAATAAGTATATGTATATACACACTATATGTAATTTAAAACTTTTTTTTTTATTATATAATAAACAAAATTTTATAATTTTTATACTACAGTATATAATGTATTTTAATAAAACAAATTAAATAATATAAAAATTATTAGATATTGAGTTTTGGTTTACAAAATATCTTTAATTATGTAAAATAAAATTTTTAAATATTTGCTTATATATAAAAATATAACAATTATAATTTATATAGTTAATCAATTTTATATTATATAGTTTTGTTTATATAATTTATATAACAATTTGTATTAAGATTTTTGCTTAATAACTAATCAATAATTTAATTTAAAAATATAATATCTTTTATTTTACATATAAAATATGCTATTTAATTTTTAAATTCGATTTAATAAATTTTTGATTTAAAAAAAAATTTTTATTTGAATACTACATGTATATACATAACCATTATAAAAAATTAATCAGGTTGTATAATTAAATATATATAGAAAAAAATTCCTTATGAAATTTTGGTATAAACTAATTCTCATTCTATTTCAAACCCACTCTTACTCTAGGGATTAATTTTTCGGTTTAATTTATACATGCCATAGAAATTATTTCGGCATAATTTTTACCAGAATTTTGGCATACAGCATTGCCTAAAGTTAAATTTATGTTGTAATTAATAGTTAATGTTTAAAATCAAAATTAATGCTTAATTAATATCAAAAATTAATGTCATAAGTAGAGAGTGGAATCGATGAGTTTCGAGCATTGGTTTATCACAAACTCTAGAATTTCGAGCATCGGTAAAAAATTTTGACCGATGTTCGAATGTTCGATGAATTTTTAAAAACAAAAAAAAATTGTGTAACATTTAATTTATCAATTGTATTGCTATTGCTACGTTTTTAAATTTATCAATTGTACTGTATCAAATTTATCAATTATACTGTTATTGCTATCAAAACAATAGTAAATTTTTAATTTTGACCGATGCTCGATGATTGACCGAATTAAAACTCAGTGAATGAAGTTTATTTCGATGCTCGAAATTTTCGATCGATGCCCGAATAATTATTCACCGATTCCACTCTCTAGTCATAAGTGCCGAAAGTAATAAAGTATAATTGATATATCTATCCCTGATTGATGTAAAGTGATGTATAAAAATAAAATAAAAAGTATATTTTATTTAAATAGCTCGATTTATAAATCTTTCATTTTAATTTTATACAAATTTACAAGTCATGTTATCGAATATACGGCTGGACGACCACCGAAAGAAGTGTGGAACTATATTCAAAAAAGAAAACGCAAGATCATTCAAAATAAAATATATAAAAGTTCACGCTTACTTTTTGATTTATAAATAGAATGCGAATGTGGTAAACCTTAGGCACGTAGGAAGCCGAAAATTTGAGCATTATTAAATAAGTAAATGTATTTAATAATATATAATAAATAAAAATATATGAGAACTGGACTACGATTTGGGAATTACCGATTTATATAAATTAAATTAATTTTTATATAACGATAAACTTCAATTAGTCGGAGAATCTTTTAACTCCTAGATCGACATTTTCCTAGACCAGTTCCCCATATACAAATCGATTTTTTATGAGTTCATATAATTAATAATTGTCACGTATAAATTACATAACTACACTAAATATACAATAACTACGTATCAGCATTGAAATTTATAATTTATAAGACAAAATCGCAGCAATTGCTGAATTAATGATACATATTTTAGATTTCGGCTTTTGTTTCGGATTGCGGCTTTATTTCTACCGAAAAATCGACGCCTAAATACTTTCGGCACAGCCGCAACGGCATATATAGTTTGATTGGCACATTATACATATTTGCAAATTAATACTCGTGTACCATACATTACGTGTAAGCTAAGGAATTTTCTTTAAAAAATTTTTATTTTGTTTAGAAGAAATTTGTAACTATATAGTTTTTTTAATCCTTTAATGATTTTCAACTAGAGATTGAGATTTTCTTGACGGTCTATTTTTAACAAAAATCTAACCCGATTTGATAATATATATATATATATTAGCGTTATAAGTTTGGATCCTTGTTTATTTGGCCTAAATTAAGCTTAATTTTGGACAAACCTCAAAATAACGCCCATGCCAGGGCTTAAAATACTATAGTATTTTGCAGGCCATTTACTACGCCAGCGGTAATTGTTCGAGGTGTCATTTTTGATTCATCAAAAAATCTTCGATAAATCATAGATCAAAAACGACACTGTATGAATGGCCGGCAAAATACTATAGTATTTTAAGCCCTGGCCCATGCCCGCTATTTTGAGAATTTACGGTATTCTTTCCGTGATTTATATTCACGTGATAGCTATCAAGACTAGCGACTCGGATGTAGCTTATAATGCTGTGCGTTTTATATATCTAGTTATTACAAAATGCCGAGTGAAACATAATTTACACTCAGTGGTAATATGTATAAAAGGTATGTACAGTACAGTACACTTCTTATCGAGGTTCACAATATAAATTATATATGACCCGAATAAAACTTACCTGAAACTAATTTCGAAAACTACTACGTAATCCAAAACCAAAATACAGTTTTAGAAACTATATTTCGAAACTTTATAAATCCAGAACAACTAAAAATTAATTCACTTTTGATTTCGTCCAGAAACTATATCGTTCCCAGACCAAATTCTGAAAATAGTGACGTAATTAGATAATTCTTAGGGTAGAAATGATTTTGAAAGAAAACTAAGCAAAATTTTTACTGTCCCAGAATTTGTGCGAACAGTTATAAAAAAATCAAAACTTAGAAAAAAAAGTTTCAGGTATAAGTATAGCTGTATATCAAATGAGCTATCATTACAATATTAATGAACCTGATTAAATGGTTACATTTAGGTCATGATAATGCAATATGAACATACCTTTTATGATAATGGGAGATAAATTTAAGATTTTTTAATGAGATTTTCATTAGTAAATATTAATTTAAATATTAATTTAAATTAATTTTCGCTCGTTTTCACTCGTTAATTTAGCTGGAGAGTATATTCATCATTACAAGGGTGGAAATACGACTTATATTTTTGTTGATTTTCTAGAAAGTTTTCGTATTTCATTTCCAAATAAATCGCCTCATAACGCAAATATCAAATATTATAATAATTGTAATTTATTAAAATAATATAAAATGATAATAGCAGTAGAAATGTTGTCCCAAGAACAGGATTACAATAAAACATTATAAATGCTTACTGAAAATAGATATGTATACTGTAACAGTAAATAATGCGTACGTATAACTAATAAAAGGTTATAATAATGGAATAATGACAATGCAGTTTTGCATAAAAGGTAATCGATTGTCGTACCCAAAAGAACGAATATTCTCAAAACTGCGAATCAAAATGTTTTGCACTGGAATAATTGTGTCAAATATGCTATATTTGAAAGGGCGACACCTATTAGAGGAACTAATCAAACCAACATATAAGGCAAAAACAAATAAGGTATTCAGTAAGCCTAAAACGAAGTGTGTACATAAGCAAAACATTAAGAAATTATAAAAAGAAAATTCATATAAATCAATTGTATGAATTTCATAGCAATTAATAACGAATACAAATTCAAAAAATATGCATAAAAATTTTATAATAATCTTGCCAATATTATCTTTATATAATATTGATTTCATACTATTATAGTATTATTAAAAAAAAAACAAAATAAGGATCAAATTAATGAAAAGATGCTAAATAATATACATTGCTTAAACGTTAACTATGTAAACATGTAGAAATAATACCTTAATATATATAATATAAATTTCTACGCGAGGGCCCGTACCAAAAATCTTTTTTGAGTGTTTTGACAATTTTCAAATTTTGTCTCATTACAATCATTTGCCAAAAATCGGGTATTACCAAAAGTAGAAATAGACGACGATGATGCGCGCTGTTTATCTAAAAGGTGGTCAATACCAAAATGTTTGGTTGAAGATTGACTAAAGTATTCAAATGATTTGCAGAAATGTGGGGTCGAAACGGATTGCCTGCAATGAATACAACGTTTCGTTTTCCATTCTGCTTCATGAGAATTTATAGAAGCATTCTCCATTTTTTCGATTATTGAATTAGGTAAAGTAGAAATTGGGCTTCTCGACGTACATAATTGTTGGTTGCATGGTGATCCAAGTGTACTCTCTGCAGGAGTAATTGGATAGATTTCTGAATTGGAATTTGTACATTCTATGGTCATTGAATCCATAGATCTCAGGGTTTCACATAACATAGAAACATCTCTTTGATTTTCTGCTTTCCTGAACGCATCTGGGCTTGATATGTCAGGGCCTGAAATAGCTTGGATATGCGTTAGCAAAAAGCTACTCCAACGTTTAAAAACATCCTCTGATATGAAAAGATTGTAATCAATAAGTTTAAGAAAGCAAAGTTCATTTGCATTAATTTCATGAACAGAAAGTCCAGATATTTTAGACCAGGCACGATTGGAGTAATTACGATCTTGAAGATATTTTGATGCTACGATCAGAGATGCTAAAAACATCCGTCGACCACAGGTCGCAGGATCATTATTTTGACCTGAACATCCTGAATGATACTCAGAAGTCGGGATTAAAGGAAATTTATTACATTGTGATATAGATGCAATTTTGTTTTTAATTCGAAACAAATAGAACAACGCAGTTTGAAAGGTTGAATAGGAAGTACGCGAACGTCGCAAGGTTTCTTGAATAAACACACGTAGAGAGATGATTTTAGCACTTGGGCTAACAGCAAAACTGGCCCAAATTACCTCGATAATGAGACAGGCGATATCTATATTTAGGCATTATATTATGAATTCAAGTAAGTTGAATTCAATCATGGTATTATTAATTTTAATGGTTAGTGAGAATCACTCACCAACTAAGTTTTCAACAAAGACCGCTTTTCGGTGCCTTTCACTTATTAAAGACGGAATTATATTAAGATTAGAAAATTCTTGTTCATCATTTCCTGGAGCATCAAGGTGATCAGAGAGATCGCGAACGATATTGGCCGGGTTGACAGGAATCACTCTAATATTTCTAATATTGTTAGGAATATTAATGTTGGTCGTAGGAGTTCGATATTGATTATTTACCATACATAAACGATCATGCATGATTTCGGATGCCTTGTCAATTTTGCTTCTTGAAATTTCATTATCATTATTGGTCATAATTTGATTAAAGTTAGAATGAGATTCTGGAGAATACTGCAAAATTTTACTTTGTAAAGTTTGCGGAACTTTACTTTGTGAAGTTTCACAAAATTGGCGCTTAAAGTTTGATTGTGCGCAAGTAGAATGTAATTTTACAAACTTCTGATACCGTAATTTTTTATGAAAATTCTTGTCAGAGTTATCCATATATTCATTCTCATTTAGTTTTCTACGTTTCTGTATAAATTGTTGGAGAGGTCCTCTCTCCAAACAATTTTTCATTGGCCGCAGTTGGAACACGTCATCATAGGTTCGTTTCTCTCTTGTAATATTGTTCATGTTTAAAAATCACCTTGTCGAAAGATGATCAAGAATTTACTCAAACAAGATTTAAAGCAATTTGGACATGTCTTATAGTAATGTGAAAAAAGTATTAAGAGAAGTTAAATAAAGGAAATAATAAAGATTGAGATGACCAGAAGATGGACAAAGGTATTATGATAGGATGATAGGAAATGCCGCAGAAGAGATTTTCAGCGATAAATTTTACCAAGAGAAAAAAAAATGGAGTCAGTCTTATTTATAAAAGTCGGTTTAATTGTATCTCTTTTTATTGTCAATAAATAAATAAGGGGTATGCTGCGTACACTGCGGAGGCGCAGATCGGCCGTAAAAGTAAAGTCGTGCTATAATGATGACCTTGTGTTGTTCTTGTGTGTTTCATCTCGTGGCTTCTATGACAGAATCTATAATTTTGAAAATCAAGCTCCGGAACATGTAATACATGCAATACATTAGATTTTCTGGTAAACAAACAAAAGGGGTTCAAGGGAGAATATCTGTGTCAGAATTCTACGAAAGGTATTAAGCTCGATTGCTGCAGTGTTGGTATCATTGTTTCTAATTTGGGTTAATCAAAAATCCAGCCAAATGGTCAGCATTGTTCCAAGGCACAGCAGTTATATAATTGCAATAACAAAATATAGCCTTATCTGGTAACGAAAATTTTTTTTACTTTTGTTAGAGATGAGTCATTGGTTTTTAATTACTTGGCTGAATCGATTGAATCAACTAACATCAATGTAATAATTTTACTAGTTTTGAGCTCAAATTGTTAATTTTTTTTATATAATTATAAATCTATTTGAAATTAAATTATACAAATATTAGTTAAAAGACGTTTTTTTACAAAGTGTTGTATTTATTGATCAAATAAAGAAAATAAAAATAAAAATACGGAAAACACGGTGTTTATAGCTAACCAACCTGATTTTGTAATCCAACAATCAAGAACAGGGTTTTTATTCTATTCGAAAGTAAACTTTGTTTTCAAAACCATGAACCGTATTTCACAGGCCAAACCACCTTCTCTTGTAAAATGTTCAACTTTTATCGAGATACTTTTAATATTAGTATGTAGTTTGATTATTATTATTATATATTACAGTATATTGGCGTAAAAAGTACAATAATGCAGGTGTAAAATTTGCACCAGGGCTGAAACGACCTATATAAATAGTGACTATTTTACTGCGCCAATTTCTATTGTTTAAAGTGCCTTTTTTGATGCTCAAAATTGGTATTCAAATTATTGCGAACAATTACTTGAAAAGCAATAAGAATCACAGATTTACTACGTACTAATGTGAAAACTTTGCAAATGCCCACTATTTAATATAGTTTGTTCTTACCCGATTTGCACCAATGTAATATTAAAATATCACACGTAAATTCTACAGAGAAGTGTGATTTAGCTAGTAAAATACTATATATTATTGATATATAATTATGAAATTATTCAAAATAATAGACCTAATTTATAATTATGTAAATTATTATTTGTATGAAAATACAAAAATTTGAAAAAAAGCGATAGAGTGCTAACATTTATTAGAAAGATTTTAAAAGATAAAAACAAAGTTTTACTTGAGTTTAATTTTTTATTGACCAAAAATATATTATTTGGAAATAGAAATAAAAAATAATATTACTGATAGATAAAATATTATAAGAAAGATAACAAGGCTATCAAGAGTTTATTAGTAACTTTTTTATATTGTGTAAATTCAATATTTAAGTTTTGGCTTTAACTTTTTAAATTAAATTTTATTTGGTCTTTTTATATTTAATTTATATTTTAAAAAAAATAAATTAATTAGTTGTTATACAATATATTATTTTTTGAATTGTTTTTTTTTTGCAAATTTAAAATTTTTTAAAAATATTATTTTTAAAATAAAATTTTAAATATTATAAGATGTATATAAAGATATATTTTTGGTTATATGAAAATACAACTAGCTACTATGCTTTTGATGCTATCTATATAGGATGCCTGCAACCCAAACTAGGATTATTTATTTAAACTCTTTGGCATCTTTTATTTTTTATTTTTTATTTTTATTTTTTAATCTTCACAGGTTTTGCCATGGCTTGCTTTTTATTAAAATGTGTATAAAAACTATATACATTTAATTTATAGAACTCAAAGCCCAACTTTACTCAGTTACCTTACAGTCCTAAATGCAACCCGTTGCACCAGTTCACGGACAAACCAGAATTATCTTATCAAAAAATCTATAAAAAAAAGAAAATGACCTATGACTAAAAAGGAGATATGAAAGAAGGAATAGGGGAAATGAACAAAGTATAAAAATAAAAAAAACCCCAAAAAAAGAAAAAACAGGAAAAAATAAAAAAACATTTTATAGAAAAAAGATAACAATTCGAGAGGAATTTCACCTCTTTACATAACCAGAGTGCACTATTATAACCTGTGCAAGGCTAAAAAATTATATAACAAATGCAACAGTTGTATATCTATTGTAAAGCTTTGCCTTAACATATATTTTTCTTTCTAACTAATCGACCAACTTTGGATATCTTATTAACTGGGGTCCCGATTTGACTCCCATGAAGTAGTGCCGTATCTGTAAATAAACACATCATGTAGTTGCATTCTACTAAGTCTGTTCGAATTTGGAATGTAAACAATGCCGATCTTTTGGAGGGGTAAGCCAAATCCCCACTTTTTTTCAAAAATTTTGGAAGACCGATAAAAAAAAATGAGAGAAAGTAAGAAGGGTACCACTTAACTAAGTAAAGGAGTACAGCTTCAAAAAAAACACAAGTTTTGTTGTTTTTCTCTGTGTTCTTCTTCGAAATAACAGCTAGATAGCTTTGTTGATGGAGATGGGACCGACCCCAAACACCACCAAGGTTTTTCATACAAGAGCACCACCTGCTAGTTATCTTGTATAATAACGCTCTTGGCTTGTATGCCAAATGTCTCTTTAGAGGAGTCCCGAAAGGCAAATAACGTTAACCTCTAGACAAACTGCTTCATAGCCACATCTCTCCAACAAAAATTTTGTTTTTTATTTAGTTAGATTTTTGGTTTAAATGATTATCAGAAAGAGTTTTTTGGCATCTTCTATCCTGTATCTTATAAGTTTAAACTATACTACTTTTAAAATTATTCAAGCTAATATTCTTTTACTAACTTTTCTTTATGTTTGGCAGCTTTTTGAACTTAATTATTAGTACTACTTTAAAGCAAAATATAGTAGATATTTTTTCAATCTTTCTATTCCTAATATAGTATATCCAAATTAGATCTTGCATAGTTGCCAAGACTTTTACTTATATTTAAAATTATTCTTTTTATACTCTATTTCAATACCTATATTTAAACTTTTTTTTTGTAATTTTCTTACTAGTCTATTCTTTGCTTTTAACTAAATACAAAAAGTTCAATTCTAAACTAGTCTATTCTTTGCTTTTAACTAAATACAGAAAGTTCAATTCTAGCTTAGCTCTAAAATGCTTTTGGCTTGTCTTGCCTTAATATATAATTTTTTAATATATATTTTTTTCAGAATTTTGATACTTCAGATTTCCTAATATATTTTTTATTAGTACTACTAGACTCTAGATTTCTAATTCAACAAACAACTAAGATAAAGCCTTTTATTACTAATTTTTCAAGCTAGTGATCTGGTTGGTATATATTAAAATTTAATTCAAAATTTTTTTTTTTTTTTTAATTATTAAAGGTGACCTCTTTGGTCAGTATATCTTTATTATAGTTAAATTGGGGTTAGTAATATTTACAACAATTTTAACTATATATATTACAACCAGCCTATAGGACTACTTTGATTATTTTTAAGGTAAACCTAACAACGTATTACATGTCTCACACATGATAGTGCATGCTCGTTTGGTAATTACTTCCCCAATTAGTACATATTGTCTGCCGACATTGTGTTTGTATTTCAAGCCATCTTTTGGAGTGCTGCCATAACACAATCCATATTCTCAAGCACAACCTTCCTAATTAGTTTCTTCATTACTTACTTTTACTCTTTATAAGGTTCACAGACCACAGTACCCCATTCTGTCACTTTCCGCATTTTACTTTATTTGGTTTCATTAGTCTTCCAAACCAGATGACCCGGAAGGATTAGTTTGCCCAAACCCAAGATCCCCAGGCTTAAGTTTAGAACATCTAATCCTTGGACCACGTTTTCATAGCACGTGATCTTTTCCTCCGGGGTCTTCCTGGTGGTCTGGTTGGTGGATCTCTTTTGCCATAAGATCTTGTCGCCCAAATCCTCCAAATGTTCAGATCCAGTTGGATCAGTCCTGTGGTACCAGGTAGCACCAGTTAGTCAAGAATCTGCTACTTCTCTATTCGAGATTTGCCAAGCCGGTTTCAGTTCTCTCAGACTACTATAAGTAGATCTTAATAATATTCGATCAGGACGCCTTATCATGGGTTTGCACTGCCTATACCAGTTTGCATTCCTTTGTATAATGACACAAATGTATCCATGTCTCCTAGCACCAACTCAGAGTGTTGGTGTGCCCTGGTTTACAAATATATGAATCCAGCCCAATTTAGAATAAGCCATTACCATGATACAAGTAAATTATTCGAAATATCGCCAGTGAGATTCGAACTCAGTACTATAGTCAACAGACTTGGGGGTGCGACAACTCCACCACTTCACTATGTCGTCACACCCTTAATTCAAAATTTTAAATTTGGTCTTTTCTATAATACTTTAAAAAGTTTTAATTACTTTTTTACTTAGGTCTTTTTAAATAAGTTTTAACTATTTTAGTTTTTTGATATTTATATACTAAAGCTTCTATTTAAGATAGTATTATCAAGATTACAAATTTTAAGATTTAACTGATTATTGGATAATCATTATCAAATACAAATTTATTTTTAAAATTATTATCTGTAGAATTTAAACTTTAGATTTGCTATTTGGTAAAATAACAACTAGATTACTTTACTATGCTACTATATCTAAATTTTTTTTTTT